GGCGGTCCCGTCACAGGGCGGAGGCGGTGGGTGGCGATAGCGCCAAAAGCGCTGGTGACCGTTTTTCAGCCGTCTTATCTTCATCTCAGGGTTTTGATATTTGTTTTGTTTTCAAATACATATACGCGCATTTAAATTCGAGTTTTGTGCTGCCTACCAGGAGGTACTGGCTTTTCTTGGCACCCACCTCCAATCTAAAGCTTTGAACATGGCGGATTTTTTTCAAGTTCTCTCTAGTTTGGCACCTCTAAGGTAATATCACTTCATAGACTAGGGAGAAAAATCTAAGAGAAAGTTCTGTGAGTGTTTTTTGAAAAATCTGTAATGTTCCCTCGTTAATGCTGTTTGTAAAACCCAGAGATGGTACCAGGTTACTCCTATGACACCCTCCAGCCTTGGGGTCTGCCTGGGACACGCCGCTTTCACGGCCATCTCCGTCAGGGGGCTGCAAGCTGCGTGTTACGAGTAATAACTGCTATTTCCGCTGCGTATCTTTGAGCTGTGTACTTTACACGCTTTGCCTGTAATGTGGGACGTGTGGTAGCTCACACAGGTGCTTTTCCACGTGCTTGCAGTAGGCAGTAGCTATGTCTTTTGTTGCCCTCAGTGTCTGCTGCAAGTATTTGCTCGTTTATGACGCTGAGTATTGACAAAAAAACATGTCCTGGACTTCAGAGGCACCGTCTGCTGATGAATGTGCCAGGTACTAACAGACAGATTAAAACGTACAGGGCCCTCAAGGGGTTCTCCAAATGTACAACGGGAAAAATAATCTCAAAAATAAAATCCTGTAAAAAAAAGCTTAAATATCAAAGGTTGTACAAAGGACATTAAATGCAGTCTGTGTTCCTGCACAGGGAGGCAAATCAGGCAGAAAGTTGGTGCAAGCACGCGGAGACCATGGAGCTGCCAGCCCGCACGCCGAGGGCAGCGCGTCCTTCACGCCATGGGACTCGCTGGGGCGTCTGGGACTGACCTGAAAAACGGTTTTATTTGAAAGATAAATTTAGCATGTGAAACAGTCACCAGGGTTTACTGCAAATCTGCTTTTTTTGAGTTGATCTTCCATTGGATGCTGCCTGGAAATCTTGCTACGCGCTGCTGTAAGGCTCTGGGAATTAGCGTGGGATCATATTTTACCCACATGTCTTTTAACCACAGTTCCATACTGGTTTAATTTAAAGCTGTGTTGTAAGTTGCTCGTTTTTCTGAAGGGCAAACTGAAAACAAATAGTTTCTGATGTCATAGGTCAGGACGATGGTTTGGGTTATAGGAACATCTTCCACTCGACTATGTGGCCATTAATGTTTGGCTTTGTCCCTTAGTTGCAATTCTTGACTATTATTGGTTGCCTTTAAAAAAAACCCCACATTTGATTACACAGTTAATATTTTTTAGTGTATATTATTAACTAAATAGTTTACCTTATTTTGATTTTCCTAGCTCTGAATTAACTTCCCTATTTAGCAGCGTTTTCAGCACAACTACACAGGCAACGAGCACGCACCTGCAATTACCGTGAGCGCCACGTATGACAAATTTCATCGGTTTATATTTTGAGACAAATACCTGTTTTTAAACCAGCATTTGAACCAAATGCAGTTCACACCGGATGTGAAAGCCTGGTGTATATCAAAGCAACGCATCGTTCTAACGCCATTACACCCAGGTCTGAAGCTCGGGGCTTTTTTTCCTTATCGAAACTGCAAATTTTTTCCATTTACAGCCGCTGACCGAGCTACCTCGGCAGGGACGGA